TTTTGGGGGGAAGGGTACCAGGGATTGAACTCAGGGGCACTTGACCACTGAGCCACATCCCCAACCTATTTAAAAAAAATAAAAAATAAAAATTATATATATATATATATATATATATAATTTTTATTTTATATATATATATACATATATAATTTATATATATATATATATATATATATATATATATATATATATAGTTGTTGATGGATCTTTTATTTTATTTATTTATATGTAGTGTTGAGGATGGAACCCAAGACCTCACACATGCCAGGCAAACACTCTACTACTGATCCACAATTCCAGTCCCCCAGCCCTATTTTGTATTTTATTTAGAGACAGGGTCTCACTGAGTTGCTTAGCGACTTGCTTTTGCTGAGGCTGGCTTTGAACTTGTGATCCTCCTGCCTCAGCCTCCCAAGCCGATGGGATTACAGAAGTGTACCCCCGTGCCTCGCTATTCCATGTGCTTTTGTTCTAGGCATAATAGATTTAGCCGTGAAAAATATACAGCCTTTGCCTTCATGAAGCTTTTATTTTTGTAAGGAAGAAAAAAAAGTCAAATAAATGTTTATGTGTGTGCTATAAAAAAATCAATGCATCTTGAAGGAAAAAGATGTGCTTTTATGTAGATTATTCAAAGAATGCCTATCTGTGGATATGACATTTGAAGAAAGACCTAGATGAAAGGAGGAAGCAAGCCATTTAAGTATCTGAGCAGAAAAGTTTTCCAAGCAAAGCTAACAGCAAGTGCAAAGGCCCTGAGATGGGATATCCCTGCCATTTTCAAGGAATAGCATGGTTCTTAGTCTGCTTGGAATGCAGTGAAATTGATTGAAAAGAAGTAGTGTTAGTTAAAGTTCGGATCATGTAGGGTTATGCAGGCTGTATTGAGGGTTTAGGACTTATTCTAGGTTTGATGGGAATACACTGGAAGGTGTGATCAGGATTATGCTATTTGCATTTTAAAATATCACTCTGGTTGCTCTTTGGAGAATAGGTGGTAGGGTTGTGGAAACTGAAACAGGGAATACCTTTGAGAGGTTTCTGAAGTCAAGGTGGGACATGCTGGGAGTTTGATTCGGGCTGTCAGCAGTGACGGGTCAGAGGCAAGGCAAGAGTTTAAAGGAATACAATGGACTTCTTTCAGTCCTGTCAGTGTGGCTCAGCCACTGCACGCATGACCTCATTTGGAAATAATGTCCAGTCTGAATTTGAGATCATTGTGATTGTGAGTCCAGTATTTTGAAAGGACCCTCTGCTCACTCCTCATGATGCTCCTGCCACTGGCTGGATAAGCTTCGTGAAAGCAGTTGGAACTTGTCCACATGTCACGGTGGTTTCATATCCCTCGGTGGTATCCTCAATGCACTATGACACCAGTCACTCCAGTGGCAACTGCTGCTTATAGTGAAGACTCTGGGTTTTCTTGGTTAGAACACAGATGTCTTTTCATGTAGACATAGGTACAAAGTGCCGTCAAGAGCTCCTCCTGCCCCATACATACATCTTTCCTCTGTCTGAGCTTTCAAATGCAATAGGATGCTGTGGTTAGACTTTGTGGAGAATGAGAAAGATAAAATTATTCCAGGCCCATATTTTTCCACTGCAGAGTCTCAGAACTCCAAACATCTCAAAGTGGCTTAGAAACAGAAAAGTCTTTCTCTCAATCTTTTCAAAATTTCCCACAAAAGAAAAGTAAACCCACTTTAAAAAAGGAAAATAGCAGTTTTGTACATACATTTCTATCCCTTTTCTGCAGGTTTTTTTATATTAATTTTTTATAATTTTTGAGTCACTCACCATGATGTGGAATTTCTTTCCCCTTCCCACTTTCCTCCAAGGACATAATATTCTTGAAGGCTTTTTACTGAAAGATAAAATTACTCCCATAAGTAGTGGAAAGTCAGAGAGAGAGAGAGAGAGATCATATTCCAGATTGAATAGTTTCTGAACAAAGAGGATACTTATTAAAGATTCTACTAAATGTGACTTTTCAGGGACCAGTGCAGGCAGCCTTGGTGCCATAATTACCCAGCCCATCTACATACAGGAGGGAGCCATGCTTCCTTGGATGACCTACCACAGCACAGAGTACTGTCTGTTGACATTTGGAAATAACTTACCAAGGGTCAAACCTCAGAAACAGCAGTATGATTTCCTGTCCCATCACCTTGATTCTCAGTGACTTTGTATATGAAATATTATATGGGAAATAAAAAAGTGTTCTTACCTTGTAGTTTCATAATTTCAAAATACTCTCATACTTTTACTAAAAGAAAACATACATGAAAATGTCTTGGAAATTGTAAAGCACTATAGTAACGGAAGTTGTTAGGATTGTTACTGCCACATTGTATTTCCTCATAAATCCCAGGAAAGACAAGTTTAAACGCAACACTTAGCATATGAAGAAGTAGTCAGGGACAAGACCAATCCATATTCAGTATTTTCAGTGAATGACTTTTGGGTGACAAGAGAATCAGTTAAACATTCCATGTGTAAATTCTCTTCTAACTAAAAAAATATGTTGGATGCTAGATCTCTATGAATAGGTTCTCTGTTACATTGTTGTTTCAACACAATTCCACTCATCCTCAAAACCTTACTGTAACTGCTATAAATAACTTTTTAAAAATATATAAATTGTGAGTGTCAGGAAAGAGCAGGACAGGAGATAATAGGAACAAAAATTTGGAATCTGGAAAGCAAGTAGAGACTACTTACTTAAGCAGCTACAAGAAAACTGGATCCTGAGCTACTAATGGGGTAAATAAGAACCAAGGGTAAGGAGCTAGAATCCAGGAGGGGTTGAGGGAGAAAAGAATAAAAGGTGGGGGTCAGGGGAAGAAGAGAAAATACTGAGATCCCCAGAAGAGGAAGGAACTCTGCCTGCAGACTGCCCCTGAACTCAACACTGCAGCATTGACTTGTGCTAGAAATTCCAACTTGTCAGCTGCCACAATTGAATTAGAAAATTTATTAAACACTCTTCCCCACTCTCTATGTTTATATAGATACATGTACTGTTGGCCCTCCATATGAATGGATTCCACATTTCAACCAATTGGAGACTGAAAATGGTTTTTAAAAAATACATTTGTACTGGACACGTGCAGACTTTTTTCTCATCATTTATTCTCTAAACAATACAGCATGACAATTATTTACATAGCACATTCATTGTATTAGTTATGATAAATACTATCAAAGACGATTTAAAGTATATGAGATGCGTGGCACCATTTTATATAGGGGATGTGAACATCAGTGAATTTTGGTACCTGAAGCGAGTCATAGAGTCAATCCCCTATGGATCTAAGAGATATATACATATGTAATAGAAAGCAGAATATACACACAAGAGAATCTCACAGATGTTTTTTTTTTACTATCTTGGAGATGCCAAGATAAAATTTGTGTACCAGTTGTGGAGGGCAACCAATACAGATTAGGCAATATGACTGGCACAGTGAAGTGTCCCATCCTCATAATCTTTACCTCTTTTCAACCTACAAAAGTTCTAAAGAACATCTTCAATAACAATAAAGGAACAGACCCAGAAAGAGAAGAAACTAAATAAAGGAAACGGGAAATAATACAGGAGAAGACAAAGAGGACTCCATAGATAACAGCAAAGGAACAGCTAAGAAGACAGCATAAACAGCAGCCAGCTCAGGTTTAAGGAGAACGTTTGTTCCAAGCCAGAAATAATATGAGCTACTAGAAATGTTATGATATAATTGAACTTGAGGATAATTGTACTAAGAATTTATTTTAAAAAAGGGGGGGATATGTAAAAAAATAAGGCAATCAATAACTTCAGGCACACATAAAATAAGGAAAAAACCAGTAATCATACTCTATGATTTGACTGTGAAACATTTGAATGGCTATTGTAAAGTATTAAATATTGTATTTTTTTTGGAAGATAGTGAAGACAAAGTATTATTCACACATTATTTAAAAATACATGCTGGGAATGTGGCTCTCTGGTAGAGTGCTTGTTGACATGCATAAGGCCCTGGGTTTGATTCCCAGCACCACACACACACAAATAATAGAAATATATCAATCCCCTTAAAGTATGTGCATGTACTAGTTAACAAACTAATTAATTTAAAGATATAAAAATTTATATTGTAAATGGATAGCACAGTGCAAAATTATTAAGCAATGAAAGCTAACAAAAATAAACATGTTCAAAATAATTTTCAGAGTCAATAAAAGACATGAATGAAAATTTCTAATAGCTCAAACCTCAGATTTTTGATATCTCTCTTGATTTATAAGAACTGTTTCAGGTCATCTTCAACCTGGTCTTTATTATTTATGTGTGTGAACACATGGTCATAAATCCTTCTCTCTCTTTCACTACCAACGCTGTTCAGCTCAAATATTTCAGTTCAAATAATATGTGTATGGTTGGTGGACATAAACTCTTAAAATATATATTTTACTAGTTTTATCAGCATTTTAAGTGTGTGAGGAGAATCTCTTCCATTCTTATGCAAATGTCAGAGGCCAAATTTCACCTTTTAAATGCCGAGAGGAAAAAATCCCCTCACACAAAAGTGGCCCAATTAAAGCTCAGTGAGGGAAAAAGGCAGTCCTTGGAATGTGTCTGAGCTTTTCTGTAATTCAACCCCTTCTTCTGTAACCTACTCTTGACTCTTTTTTTTTTTTTTTAATTTTAGAACATTTTTATTACCCTACAGAGGAAACTCAGTACCTATTAGCAGTACATCCTCTTCCTCCCTGTAACCCCAGGCTTTAGGCAACCTTTAATCTACTTCCTGTCTCTGTGGATTTGCCTACTTGAGACACTTCATATAAAAGCAATCATACAATATGTGGTCTTTTGTGTACTCTTGACTCTTGATGAAGTTGAGGATTCCACTTGGTTCTTGTTTTTCAGTGGCTTGCATCCCCAGAGTGAGGACTTCCAAGTCTCTTTTGATGAGCATTTGTTAAATGAAAGAATTGTATTGTCCTCTTGAAACATCATTGTGAAATTTAATTACTGTCCATCCCTCTGTAGAGTCCGGATGCCTTCCCCCAGATCATGGAGAAAGCCCAATGCCTGATCATTTGGTTCAGTATCTGCCTATCCCATTCAACCAACACCTCACGAAGAAGCTGGGCACCAGCCACATAGCAAGGCTGGAGCTCAATCTTACCAGGTTAGTGCTTAGAAACGGTCAGCAGGAAGCCAGAGCAGAGTGCATTAGAGAGCCAAGAACAAATGCCAAGGACACCAATTTTAAACCTCAAATTAAAAGGCTAGAGGAATATAGAAGATATATAGTTTTTACTAAGCATCAGAAGAAATGTGAACAGGTAGGGAGGGAATGATGGAGAATAATTCAAAGAGACAAAAGATCACTATGGCTATAGTACTGAGCTAAGGAAGAGGATAGGGTCATTGAAACAATGCCTAGAGTTATAAGAGGTAGCTTCTAAAAGACCTAGAAACACATTCATTCTTTCATTCAACAACTAGTCATTGAAATAGTTTTATGAGCCCTCATTCATCAATCAACCTATGCTTACTATAAACCACATAGGCAATTATATCATTGTTTAATTTATTCACTCAACTGGTTTGGAATCCCTATCATGTCACTTACTAGTTAAGTGACTGTAGGCACCATACTCAGTTTTTTTCATTAAATGAAGGTGAATAGTATTGGATATATTGTGAGTACTAGGTAAGTCATATGAAGTATTTGGAACACTATGTAACTTTAAAAAAGTCAATAAATTTCTATATTCCTATTTACTAAACATTATGAGTTGAGTTGTGTCACCAAAAGGCAGTCAAAGTCCCAACTCCCATATTCATGAACAGAACCGTATATAGCAAATGGGGTCCTGCAGATGTAATCACATTAAAATGAGATCATTAGGGTGAGCTCTAATCCCCTTTAATCTCAGTGAGTGCAGAGGGTTTTTTTAATTTTTGTTTTTGTTTTTTTGAAGGAGTGGTGACCAAATTAGATGAAAGGAAGTCTAGGATCAGGAGGCAAAGGTGACAATGTTTCAAGGATGTGGGTACTGTCACTGATGTCAAATATTGCCAAAAGCTCTAAATAAAAGGTAAGTGGGCTTGCTTTCAGGTCGTTGTTGTGATCTCATCAAGAACAATTTAAAATGAACTGATTGGAGCAAAAAACATTATGTTGAGGAATAAGAGAAAGATAAGAGAGGTGACCTTGAAACTTAGTTTAAAATGTAAAAATTCTTTGTTAATTCCAATATAAGTAACAAGGATTTATTTTAAAAAAAAAAAAATCAACTTTCAAATTTTCTTATACCTGGGGCTGGGGATGTGGTTCAAGCGGTAACGTGCTCGCCTGGCATGTGCAGGACGCTGGGTTCGATCCTCAGCACCACATAAAAATAAAAAATAAAGATGTTGTGTCCACCAAAAACTAAAACATAAATATTAAAAAATTCTCTCTATCTCTGTCTCTTTAAAAATTTTTTTTTCTTATACCTGTTCTCCTTTCACTTTTCTTGGAAATCCTGTTTAATTTCTGTTATTATTTAGTGAACTTATTTTCTTCTCTAAAAGAAAAGTCAAAGGACAAATCCTTAATGAAAATTGTTAGGTCTACATGGAAACTAAAAGCAGGAAAATTAACATTGGTCCCAAAATAAACATACGAATATATATATATATATATATATAGTTATAGTTATAGTTATAGATTAGCACTCAAATTATTGTTGAGTTCAATTCAACTACATAAAAGAATCATCTGGCAGAACAATGGTGAAAAGATGTAAATCCAGTTAGTCTTCTAACTGAGTGCAGGGGTACACATCTGCAATCCCAGTCACTCAGAAGCCTGATGCAGGAGGATTACAAGTTTGGGACCATCTTGGACAACTTTATGAGATCCTGTCTCAAAATAAAAAGGGCTGGAGATATAGCTCAATGGTAGAGCTCTTAGCTTTTGCCTAGCATGTGCCAGGCCCTAAATTCAACCAATCCCCAGTACAGGGTAAAGGGAGACCTCTAGGAAAGAGCCTTAGACTATATCTAAACCATGTTCTAACTTTTATCATAATTATCAATAAAACCCAATAGTTTTATATTTATATCCTGGTGAATAAAAACACAAGTTTTTTAAGTTTTGTGTTTCAAAAGGTGATGTGGCCTTGTATCCCTTTAACGGCTTATCCAATCTATCCAGTGCAAGTATCTATACAAATAAAAGCAACAATTTGTAAAAAAAAAAAAAAAAATTGATTTGGCATCAAAGAAAAAAGAATATTGTTAAAGATAGCTTTTTCAAAAAATAAAAATATCCAGTAAAAGGGATGAGGATTACATTGATCATGTGGTTTATTTTCCTTTAAAAACATTCTCTATGAAGGTTATTATAGCTAAATTGAAAATGCCTTTCTCCCTCTCTCCATTCCTCCACCTATTGCCATTAAAGTTCAGTGACACTTTGGTGTACCTACTCTTGTATATCCACTTTCCTCTACTACTTAAGCCTTTTGGGAGCAGAGACTGTATCATATTCATCTTTATATCCCTACCAATAGCACAATAACTAGGACTTTAAAATGCATTAAATGAATAAATGAATTTTAATTATTTACCCAAATATATCCACTAATCTCTCTGTTTGTGTAATAAGAATTGGAATTTTCCATTGTCTTATAAAGATGACTATTTTCCCATAATGCATTTGGAGCATTATTACTAAGACAATGGAAAAGAAAAATGGTACAGTTAATTTGAAATGCAAAGAGCAAATAAATAGCAGTTAAATACCAGACACTAAATGTTGCACATAAGTCAAGTAATAACAAGAATGCTTTCCTTAAAATTTGAAACATTGATGAGTGAGATTGTTATGGCATTAGAATTTTTTAGACTAAAAAGAGATTAATAGTTATATGCATTAAAAGAAGAAGAGAATAGTGAATTGGCAGAAACAGTTCTACTGGTGAAGACACCACAACTTTAAAGCATGTTATTTGGTGTTATGAGTGATGGAAATGCATATGACTGGAGAAGAAAACAAGAACAGTTTTCTTTGATTACAAGAGTTATATATTTTAGAGTTTACTATCTCCTCAGGGATTATAAATGGACCCACTCAGGAAGGGGTTACTACCACACTAAAACAAAACATAAGGAAACAAACTTTAAACAATGTTTAAATGTAGCTACCACTAGATACAATCACTGAATTGGACATTTATTTATTTGTCCAACTCTCTGCAATCATGATGAAAGAGTCAATAAGAATTTTCAAAGTTATTTTTGATCAATAAGAATTAAACAATCATGCATAGAAAAATGAAACTCCACTTCCATATTCTAAAAACATTTAATATGGCAAGATTCACTTGGTTAATATTAAAAAAACAGATAACATGTATCCAAAAATTCTTGTGGTATTTGGAACTACAGGATGAAAGTATCCAATGGTCTTAAGCATGGTTCTGTAGTGCACCAAGTTATGCATTTCTGCAATACATGACAGACTTTACTAAAAAGTGTCAAGGGATGACAGTGATCATCTGTATATTTATTATGTCATCATACATTTATTGGGCACCAGGCCCTGATGCTACTACTCTAGTGATAAGCAAAGAAGCAATTTTAAAGATATAAATATTTTTCTATATAAAACCATGCAAATATTTATCTGCTTATTGGAATTCTGAGTGAACTTTTCTATCTACAACATCTGCCAGGAAATCTCACAAGAATATAAGTTTGCTTGTAGAATTTCTGACCCTTGTCCTTGGATGATATACTGTGATGTCAGTAATATTTGCAGCTACTGCATGAACAGTTTTCCTACAGAGATTTTAAAGTCAGAATCTGAGAGTAAAGAGAAGGTTTCTTTTCTTCTGGTCATAGAAGCAAATCAAAATGAAGTTGCCATAATGAATTTTCCACTCTTAAAATAAACATGTTTGGAGAAGAGTTACCTCAGAGAGATGGCTCTTGACATACACCTCCACTTCCAGGATGCTTGATTAGAATCATTTCCAATTTTTCCCACTTGTGTGAGGAGAAGCCAAGAGATAATATTGAATGCCATTTTAAAAACTGAAGATTTGGATGTATTCTTTATATGATCTCATTTGTCCTCTCATATTTATATGTCTAGTCCTGACGTCACCCAATATCCAGATTCAAAGTCCAACAGTGTGCTTGAGAGTTCTACTGAAAATTTAATAGGTATGCCAAAAGTTAACATCTGGCAGGGTATGATGGTACATGCCTGTAACCCCAGCAACTCAGGAGGCTGAGGCAGGAGGATAGCAAATTCAAGATCAGTCTCATCAATTTATTAAGACCCTTAGCAACTCAGTGAGATTCTGTCTCAAAACAAAAAATAAAAAAATGGACTGAGGATATAACTTAGTAGTAAAGCACCCCTGAGTTTAATCCCCAGTACCAATACAAAGAAAGAAGCAAAAACCTGCCTCTGTTGGTCAGCTTTCCATCACTATACCAAACGTCTGAGATGAGATACAAACTTATAAAAAGGAAAGCTTTGTTTTGGCTCACAGTTTTGGAGTTTTCAACCCATGACTGATTGGCTCTGTTGCTTTGAGCATACGACAGCACACCATGGCAGAAGCACAGGACCCAGCAAAGCACCTCAGCTCATGGCCAGGATGTAAGACAGAGAGAAAGAGAGGGGAGAGAGTTGCAGTGCCACTATCCCCTTCAAGGGCATGCCCCAATGACTGAAGAACTCTGAATAGGTTTCACCTTTTAAATGTCTTACTACCTCCCAATAATGACAAGCTAGGGACAAAGCCTTTACACGGGCCTTTGGAGGATGCTTAAAACCCAAGCTACAGCATTTCCTCTTCCAACAACCTTCTTTTCCCACAGCCAACTCCCTTACAGCACATCACACCATCATTCACTCAGCAGCCTGGGCAAAAGCACTAGGAATCTCCTTAATTTCATAATTCCTTTATCTTTAATCAGTTCTGAAGGTTAATATTAAAAAACAAAAACCAGATAACATGTATCCAAAAATTCTTGTGGTATTTGGAACTACAGAATGAAAGTATCCAATGGTCTTAAGCATGGTTCTGTAGTGCACAAGAAACTTGTCTACTCTCACTTTGCCACTCCACAGTCTCATCTCTATTCAGCAAATGATTTTTTAAAACATATAATTCAGGACATGCTTTTGCTAAATAAAGCCCTCTAATGGTTTCCTGTTGCTGTCTCCTTCCATAGCTCACAATGCTCTGTGTGACTTGGACTTCACCTTATCCCTAACCTCATTTCATTCAACTCTTCTGCTCACTCACTGTGTTTCAAGCAGAGGGCACACCACTGACATGCCAAACTCACACCTCCATGTGGCCCTTCCATCTGTGCTAATGTGCCAGATCTTCACATTTGTCTGACTGCTTGTTTGATTTCCTTTGGTCATTTTGGAGTCAACTCAAATGTCACCTCCTCAGATGTCTTCATGATCACCTGATCTGAATCTTCACCTAAACACTTCCTATCCATTTCTCCATTGTGTTTTCTTCACAGCCCTCTTCACAGTCTGTTTTGTCTTTGTTAATGTTGTTATTGTCCATGTATAAAAAATAACCTCCAAAAGAATAGGCATTCAGTTTGCTACATTAACTACTGTATCCATAACAGCTAGAAGATTGGTGACCCATAATATATACTCATTAATACTTGTTGAATAAATAAATGAAGGAAGTCCCAGAAATTTGAATGAGTATATACAGAAATTTAGTAATTAATAACATTGTGCCCAAAGTAACATGATGTTGAGCCTTTGTGGAATAATCACCTACTAATATTTCAAACTACAAAGGGCCTAATAAATCCAGATGGTGGTAGGTTGGTGGTCAAAATATGTTGTACTAGCACTGGGAAGTGGGGCCTTGAAGTATTATAATACACAAAACCAAAAATTTTTAAGTTATGGGTTGAGATGAACTCTTTAGAATAAAAAAGGGCTGAGAATATAGCTCAGCATAGAGCATCTACTTAACATGTACAAGGCCCTGAGTTTGATCCCCAGATCCATGTTTTGGGCTGGGGACGTAATTCAGCACCATGAACAAATATATATATATATATATATATATATATATATATGTAAAATACATACAATAAATCACATTAAGAATCTAGAGATGGGGCAAAAAAGGCTGACAAGAAAGCAAATATATATATAGAGTGAACCATGTGAGTCATTCGAAGTTCTGAAGTGAATGAAAACCAGTGAAGTGGTCAATACACTGAGCAAAAAGAGAAGCCTTTAAGTAAATCTTTACCTGAATTGAATCCAGTTATGGTGAAGGTTGGGGAGAAAATAAAAGGTATACTCCTGTAATAATAATTTTAAAGCGCTGTAAGCATGAGTAAGAGTTCTTTTCCTAAAGGCTTTCCTATCTTTGTACTGTGAGAAGTAACTCTCATAGAAACTGAGATGATAATGCTCTTAGAGTTGTGAAAACCAAATCCTTCAGAAGAATACATACAGTGTGAAGACTTTGTGCAGGAAAGGTGAGATTGTGATAAGGTCCAACACAGGACTTAAAATGGTGGATGGCAACTTGTGCTTTAAAGAGTTAATACCAACTGGGCATGGTAGTGCATGCCTATAATCCCAGCTACCCGGGAGCCTGAGGCAGGAGAATCACAAGTTTCAGGCCATCCTGGGCAACTTAGACTCCGTCCCCAAATAAAAACTAAAAAGAACTGGAGATGCAGTTCAGTGGTAAAGCACCCCTGAGGTTAAGCTCCAGTACCTAAAAAATTAAAAATTTAAAAAAGTTGATACAAAATTTAGGGTTAAAGGCACATGCGATTGATTCTAATTATCCATGGAACATGGCAAATGTTAACCCTGGGTTGCTTCTCATCATCTAGCAGCCAGAATTCAGTGTGTGAATTTGAAATAGAAACTCATTTCATTCTCACACAATATAATTATGAGGTAAATTTTCTGGAAAAAACAATGCATGTAATAGATTTGAAAGTCAAGTGGAAGTGATTTTTAAATTATTTGCTATTTTGGGTTATTCAAAATAACCAAATGTTGATTTTATAGTTATATCATCACATAGTTGAAATGAATAAAAGAATAAATGAATTTATATAAAGTGAAACATTATATTGGGGTGGTAATTGGCTGCAAATAGAAAGGTTGGCTAGTTCAGTATATAAGCTTTCATCTCTAGTATAACTTTATGTTTTAAAATTTAGAAATGTTTGGAGAATGTGTGTGTGTGCGCGCACACACGCGCATGCATGCTGGTATTTTTCAAAAAAACTTGAGCAGAATGCACCCACTAGATTTCCAAGTCCATTTCTTCATTATTATCATGAGTTTAACTCTTTCCTTTACCATTAAATATATACTAATCAAATTTCCTATGTTAAGTATGCCTAAGCAACCTTATCCCAGAGAGATCCTGAGTTTTGCCCAAGGTTATTCTTGGTTTAGGGCCTAACAGGTGTGGCTCTTAACTCTTAGGGTAATGGTCCCCTAACACAAATATATCTCTGTCTCTATGAGATATTTCAAGCCAATTTAGTTACAACTTTATGTAGATTATTTTTTTGTCATTCACGTAATTAATTTCAGTATATTTTTTATTTTTACTATCATTTAAACTTTTTCCACTGTTTTCTAGAATCACATGTTAGAAATAAAGCAAGAAATTTGTACTGTTTTTCCTAACATGGTATTTGCCATATTTGATAAAAACCGTAATAGTCATAGAATTATTCTTGACTTCTAGACCTATCTTTACCTCTGGATCACATAATTGTGGAATAACATGTAAACTGAAAAAATATATGATAAGTTCAGTATCTTGCTGGGTGTGGTGGTGCACACCCGTAATCCCAGTGCCTCTGGAGGCCAAGGCAGGAGGATCATGAGTTCAAAGTCAGCCTCAGCAAGTTAGTGAGGCTCTAAGCAACTCAGCGAGATCCTGTCTCTAAATTTAAAAAGGGGTAGGGGGGGTGGGTGCTGGAGATGTGGCTCAGTGGTTAAGCTACCCTGGGATCCAATCCCATTATAAAAAAAGAAAAGTTCAGTATCCTTAAGTTAAAGAGATATTTTAAATATGCTGTAAGAATTTGTTGCTTTTTAATGAATGTTTTGAACTAAGAAATTGTATCTTCATTTCCTTTAGGAACTCTGGAATGGAGAAGTGGCTGTTGACACCTGATTTCCCTCTGGCAGATGACCAGATAGAATCAGCATTAACAACGTGCAGAAAATGCCAAATGCAGGAAAAATGACAAATGTGCCAGATGATTTAATATCAAGTAAAGATAAAGGTTAACAGAGATGATCTTGTCTTCTTCATTTGCAAAATAAGTTAAAAGTGCTTTTTGCCTTTGCAAAATACAAAGTATGAGGGATTGCACATGGCTATCTCTCAGGTACATTCCACTTGAAAACCAAGATAGTGGTTTTTAGGTATGTTCTATAACAATATTATACACTACTGGTCACACAGCTATTTGACCAGCATATGTTTAATAGTAAAAGGGAATGGTCAAGCCCAGAATTTGTGGGAAAACCAGATAATGATAATAAATTTTTTTCAAATAGGTTGAAGAATAATAATTTTACCTGAGAATGTGTCTGGTATAAGTTCATAGTGAGGAGCCAGAGAAAAAAGTCATCCATTCTATGTCTTTTGGACCTTTTGCCATTAATATCAGTCTTTCTTATTCTTAGCTTTTTACTGATGGAGTCTGATGGCAGAGAATGGTGGATTAATATGAACCTAGCACCATACTCTCTGGCAGGAATGGACTGAGCAATGCTTCTGTGCTCAATTTTCCCCCTCTTCTATCTAATCATGTTATCTTTGGGATATTTTTATAGTTTTAAAAATGATAAATACCCAATGCAGAGAAACATGAAGAAAAGATTTAAAAGTCAGCATGATTAAAATCACATATAGTCATCACATCTCTGAAAATTTATTTACTCAGGCTGCACCTTAATCCTTTCATCCACATTGGAACAGAACCTTATGGCATACTAATATGGCCATTCAAATATAACCCCTACTAAGATCTTGGATACTTTTTTCATAAAGTTATACCAAGTATTCTGCTTCTACTTTTCTTGGCAGGACCAATTTTCTATTTCAGTAAGTATTCTTCTACAACATCCATTAAATGACTATATACTATTCCATTGTATGGATATAGTATAACTTATTTAAACCATTCCTGATAATTAGAGTTCTAAATTGTCTTATTGTACTATTATTAATAATGCTGGTACATTAAGTTTTATTCTTTGGCATTTGTAGTTTATTTCAAACAAGGATATCAACTAATGAAAGAATGATTAAGAAAGAAGCATATATCCTATTTTTATGAATAAATACATGCATTAGAAGAAAGGGTTATAAAAGTTATGAAAAATATCCTTTGTCAGTTTGCAACAACTTGGTACAATATTGAATTAATCATTACATTAGTTCTTCCATACTAAAAGAAACTGGTATATTTTTTGAGTCTGTGTTATGATTCTAGCATGTAATCATAATGTTAGACAAATCAGAACGTTTCGTTTTGTGAAATCTCATTGATATCTGTAAAGTATATTCCAGAATTTTCTTAGTAGCTCACTAAATACCAGAAGTATTGAAGTCGAGCTTTGAAATAACGTGAAATAGGCAGAAAGTTATATATCCATATGATCTACTAATAAAAAGGGAACTATTAGAAACCATATTTTATACCTTTGTATCAAATCTTATATTTAAATATGATATTGCAATACTTATTTTAAAAGTATGAGTTATCAGGAAGCATGTGGAAAATATAACAGGAAAAGGAATAGAGATGGCTCAACTACAATATCTGTTAATGGAGCAAGATATGAGGATGTGATAGGCTTCTGTTCAAATGTGGGTGGAGGGAGTAAGGGGCAGCCTGAGTAAATAAATTTTCTAAGATATGATGCAAACACTGGTAAACTGATTTTAATCATGGAAAAACTTAATTTGTTAATTAGTTTCTTTCTAATGAGTTTATTGTATGCAAAACTATGTACTGTGCTATTTTTTTCTACCCCAGAAAAACAAGGCCTCTCAAATTAATATACACATCCAAACCAAGGAGATGTTTTGTTGCGATGTTTTAGGAAAGGAAATATTATTCCATGTCCTTGGAATTAATTTTTGACTCACAGCTGTACTAAATTCCATTTTTCTTTCTCTAAACTTAAAACAAATTCCATGAATATTAGGACTCAGAACACAAAGTCTTTTGAAAACGCGTATAAAGCAGCTGTTTACACATCTCTTTTCTGTTTCATTGCTAAGCTGCTCATGAGTATTTACAGATTCAGGAGTGCAGAGAATTCTCCAGAGCCACATCCAGCACACTGTGTGGCACAATATTAAAGAGAAGTATATATTGTTTTCAAGATGAGATTCTGTAAGGCTGATGCACATTTTAATGATCTGATAATAAATACTAAAATGAAGCTGTATATTATCACTTCTTTCAACATTTTTTTTTGGATTGTAGAGATCACACAAACATATTGTGCATTTTGAGATTAGCATGACCAGTGGATAATGATGCTGGCAACACTACTATATTAAAGATATGAAAAAAAATTTCTGTTGCATTCACTTTCCATTTGGAAATACAACACTGGCATCAATTTTAAGATGCTCTATTCTTTGTTGCCAGAATACATTCCCACAAGTAGCCAATGCTTAAGACACTGAAGCACCACATCAATATATGTGTGTCCGTGTGTGTATACATATATATTTCATTGTTTAAGTTAAACTCACACTGAGTTTGCAAAGGATTTTGAATGTATTTCGCATCAGTCTTCATGTTTTCTAGTCATATAAGCAGAACTGCATATGATGCCCAAAAATATAAGCTATAAAGTCTGAAACAATTTCTACATCTTAATAATATCATCATTTAACACAAAATAAGTGTTCTTCATTCTCTATTCCCTAAGAGTCACAGAACTATTACTTCTCAGAATATATCTGCAGAAAGCAAAAGAGGTAATTTTTAGAAGTATTCCAAATCTATAATGACATAATTGGAGGGACTTTATAAAAAATGATAAGGAACTTAATTTCTACAAAGTAAACCTCTTGGATTCTCATTAAACTAGAGTGCACATAGATTTAAAAATGAGTAAATGGGTCAATGATTATGGTAGTTACGCAGTTTATTACTGCCATCCTGGAGTCAGATAGCCTGCCCGTGAGATCTAAGTGGAGAAGAAGGGAAAAGGGGGATTATATATGTTGATTATTCATGTTTTGGTCTAACCTAGATGTCTCCACCTTTCATCTTGGTTCATCCTCACAGCTATAAGGCAGATACGTGTTCCATTTAAAAACCGTGCAAATGGAGAATCAGTGGTTTGATGGAATTTGTTCCTAAGTGAATGGCCATCTGATTTTCTGGAAAGATCCATCCTTTGTCCATTACAATACACATTCTTTGGCTCCATCTCTTGAACTTCCTACATATAAGTTTTCTCATATTTGGAAGAGGAATAAGAATATCATGCTATCTGTCTCCCCAAGGATTTTAAGGAATCAAATATAATGAAAAACAACTTTGAAATAGGTGTTTGGGGGTGTTTCATTGAATCAAATGAGTGATTCTGGCCATTCTTTGAAGTGTTGAGTGATCTATGAAGATCATTTAAAACTCTCTAGACCTCAGATTCCCCATGTGTAAAATGGAGAAAAATAATAATAGTGGAGATAAGATTCTGAGGCTGAGTAAACATTTCTGAATTTTAAAGTGTTATGCAAATATGAAGATTAAAAGATTAGGAAATTGCCTAACAAATGTGCCTAGATAGCAATCATTGGATGACTAAAGAAAAGGTACAATTTTTCTCATTTCTCATTTTTTTATTCAGTAAAAGAGGTAACCTCAGTGGTAGGGATTCATGCTTTTCTATGGAGTTCAACCAAGTTGCTTTTATCTTGATATAAAAATTATGATCTATTAGCAGTTCTGTTTATAATTATTTACACATTCATATATAGATTGAACACTGTGCTTACATTTGTTCTGTGGTTTCTCTGAGTGATGTGTGGCACTCACATCCTCAGCTCTCACCTCTGCTCTGCTGGTTTTGGAACTGTTGTATGGCTTTTGTTGTTGTTGCTTCCATAAAGAACCTAAACTGTTTCCTTCAAGGTGATCAAAAATTCCTTGATGCTAAATTCAGCAGATTCCTTTAGGCTTTATTTTACTTGATCACCTTGGTGGCATTTGACAGATTGGAGCATTCCTCTTCATTGACGTGTTTTCTTAGCATGGAGTTTATAGCATTGCACTTTTCTGATTTTCCTTTGCATTTAAAGAATTTTCCTCTGGATTCTTTAGCTGCAGTCACTGTTCCCTCGAGTTATATGCTGGGCATTTTTCCTACTCTACATTCACTGTCCAGGCAATCTCATGCACTCAGGCTTTTACTCATGATATGTTGGTTATTCTCAAATCTCTTCTCCAGGCTAGGCCACTCTCCAGGATTTCTACTTGAATATTTAGCTGTCTTCTTGAGAAAACCAGGTGGATGCTCACAGACAGTTTAAACAGGACTTGTCCAAAATTGAGCCTATCATGTTTCCCCTCCCCAGCTACTCCTCCTGTTGTGTTCCTGGCTTAACAGATGGGCCATGTGAAAGTTAAATTTCAATAAAGGAAAAAGACACCAGTCTAAATGTCTTAAGCAGAGGAATATAATTTACCTCTTCATATTGTTCTGCCTGAGGTCCTTCCCCCTGCACCAGCCCCTGCCACCCTGCCATCTTTGTTTACTTAATTGCTACTTATTCTAAGTTTACAATTTAGATGTAAACCAGTCCTGGAAATTTTCCCTGATCCTCAAAGTCTGGATAAATTGTCCTTTGCATGTATTTTGTAAAAAAATAAAATAAATGAACAAGAAAATATATATATATATATATAAATCATCCATAGATACTTTTCTACCCCAAATAGCATCCCTTAGTATTGTAATTATAAGTGCATATGTGTCCTTTGCTATAAATTTCAGCTCTGGCCAACTCTGTTACGCTTGTCTTTACATCTACAACCTCTAATACAATGGCTGGCATGAGTCATTTTATAACTCTGCTCTTACTGAAGGAATGGCATCCCTCACCTTCTTAGTGGCACATGTGTTTCGCAGTTTTCCTGACTCACCTAGGTGTGATTTGCAACATCATGCCTCCCTAAGGTACAATGTATTCTTTTCTTCTTCAAGATCTCTGCTGTTCTTGGGGGTTATTTGTTTGCAAGTAACAGAAACTCATTCAACTATTTCTAGTGAAAATGGAGGCTTTATTATATATATACAAGCAGGTTTACTCAGATACAGCCATAGCATTAGCTGGAATCTTGAAATATTTCCATAATAATTGATAAGTAGCCACTGCCTGAGTTCCCACAATGGCCAACCCAGTCACCATAGCTACTCCCTTTGGACTCCTCCATACAAACTGGAACTAAATACCAGGGGGTTCCAAAGCACCTGCTCCAGCACCATGGATAGTGGTTATGAGGACCTAGAATGTGAAAAAACTCCATCATTCAAGACTACACGTTCCCTGGTTTCCTCTTTTCTCACAATAATATTTATGCATTCTATTCTTTGTACACAGCCTTTTCTGCATATCTTAAGCATATAAGGACAGATGTAGCTACCCCAACTCCCTGTTCCTTCCCAGCACCAACAGAGATGTTTTAGCATCTGTGATTGATGATTTAAATTCCTGGGAGAAAAAAAAAAAGTCTGCCTTAGCATGGATGCTAAACATGCCTAATTACCAGTGATCAGAGGTCTGAGTCACTGCAGAAATTATGGTATATGTCTAACTCCATACCTAGAATGGAAAGTTCCCAGAGAACGGTGCATGGGCTAAGAATACACAACAAAAAGTTTCTCTACAGCTTCCTGACCTCTTCCCCAGCTCCTGCCACACAGGCTAAACCACTTTTTTGCACTCACATACGGACACACACACACACATATAAATACACACAGACACACACACACATATTTTCAATGGACTGTAAGCAGTTTGAGGCAGAAGCTATGATTTATATTTTTATATTCCTAATGCCTAGGACAGCACCTAACACAAATAGATGCTCAGTAAAATTCATTAAATGCATAAATGAAAAAGAAAGAAGGGAAAAGAAGCTAGAAGCAATAATAATCTATTGTTTATTATTTTGTTATCTATCTTCCAAGAAGCAAGGAAACAGATTTTCCCCTAGATCCTACAAAAGATGGCATCTTGTAGACCCATTTTGGACTTCTGACTTCCAAGGCTCTATGATAATAAATTTGTATGGTTTTAAGCCACTAAATGTGTGGTAATTTGTTACAGCAGTAATTAGAAACATATTTAGATAATATGGAAGAATACATTCTCCTTTTTGGATATTTCATTATGTTTATTTCCTGGCTCTAAGAAATCCTGATATAATCTTCCTCCCATGCTCTCCCTCCCTACCCCACTTTGAGTAACCCCCCTTATATCAGAGAAAACATTTGGCATTTGTTTATTGGGAATTGGCTAACTTCTAGATAGGGAATAAGGATGGGAGGGAAAGGGAGGGGGAAGGGGATTAGCAAGGATGGTGGACTGTGATGGTCATCATTATACAAAATGTATGTATGAAGGTTTGAAGTTGGTGTCAACATACCTTATATACAAACAGAGATATGAAAAATTGTGGTATATATGTGTATTAAGAATTGTAATGCAACAAAAGAGTATATGTATAATGGCATAATTTGGTGTGAACATACTTTATACACAGAGATACGAAAACTTGTGCTGTAAATGGGTAATAATGAGTGTAATGCATTCCACTATTGTCATGTATGTAAAAAAAAGAAAAAAGAAATAGTGATAGAAAAAGCTATAAAAAGAAAGCTGTTTGCACCCATATAACAGAGAACTTTCCAAAGACTTTTTTAGTAGACACCTGTTTGGGTTGGCCAGCACTAATTCTGCTACCTATATCCTTGGTATATTTCATGGAAATGACACCTACCCTCTCTTGCTGTATATAATTGGCATGAGATTTATGTCAACAGCCATATTAACTACTCCAGGAAGGGCATCTGACCCACTCATAAAGAATGGAAATCAGACTTGGAAGTTTTCCAGAATTTATTAGGAAATATGTTCCAACAATAGGAAGTAGATTGGACTTGCTAGGACCACACGACTTGCAAAAAGAGACAACAAGGAAGCAGAATGTAAAAGTAAAAAGTACCAGCTATTATTAGTCTTCTGTTGCCACTATAGCAAATTACCACAAACTTTAGCAGAATCAAATTTAAAACAAATCAAATTTAAAGCTGGATGTGGTGGCACACACTTGTAATCCCAGCAACTCTGTAGGTGGAGACAAGAGGATTACTGAGGCCAGCCTCAGCAACTTAGCAGAAATTTCAGCAACTTAGCAAGACCCTGTCTCAAAGTAAAAAATAAATAAATAAATAAAAAGGACCAGGGAAATAGCTCAGCAGTGGAGTGGCCCTGGATTGAATCCCCAGTACCAAAAACAAACAAACATTAATGTATTGTCTTAGAGATCTGGAGGTCAGAGTATGATACAGGTAACTGAACTAAAATCAAGGCATCAATGAGGCTTTGTTTCTATCTGGAAGCTCCAGGAGGGAGTCATTTTTGACTCAATCGGGTTGTGGCTAAAGAACTGAGGCTCTCCCTTACTTTCTGGCTGTTCAGCTGAGGATTGTGCTTCTAGGAACCAACACATTCCTTTACTCATGGACCCTTTTCTCCATCTTCAAAGCCAAGAACAGCACATTGAATTCTTCTCATGGCATCTCTCAGGTCCTCATACCTTTCTCTTCTACTTCTAAGTATTTGTATGATTAGATTGGGTACAGGATAATTTCTCATCTCAAACTTTAATCACAACTGTGAAGTCCTTTTTGCCATGTAAGATAACATCTCACCATTTCTAGTCACTGGGGTATGGACATCTTTGGGGGACAGTTATTCTGCCTATGACAGATTTAATGTTATCATTCAAACAACTGAATTGGCCATGTTGAAGTTTATCCTGACCCTTGGACTTTTCAGTGTTGTGAAAGGATAAACTCTATTTTTTATTGCATTGCTTTGAAGCAGATATTGTGTCATTGATAGCGTTAAGGAATCCTGACTGTTACATAATTTGACTAAAAATCTCTGTATTTAAAAAAAAAATGTGTGTATTTATATCCCACAAAGCTGCAACTCCAAAATCATACTCTTTGGATAGTGTTGTTTTTTTCAATTCTTTAATTTTATAGAGGAAACTAATTTTTCAAGGTCACAAAGCTAATTCATCTTCATGATACCACTATGGTGTTTATCAACACATGAAAAGCTTTTTTGTCATTATAAATATCTAGCTTCTTCCTCAATGGTCAACATCAGCCATTGTGGAAGAAGCTAGATATTCTAGGCATCTCTTATGAAGACATATCCTGTCCCATCTGTGCCTCAATGCTCACCATCTGGGTTTTATTTCATATTGCAACTATTGATTTTCTGTCTACCTAGAAAAAATCAACTGACTCCTGGTCTGCATTTGGAATAGTCATTTATTTACTTTCTCTCTCTTTCCTTAACAAATTTGCTTAGTTGGCAATAAGAAAATTATAAAGCAATCTTAAATGAGACAAATTATCTCATATATATCAAATCTTCATTAAATCTCTACAAGGTACTTTGTCTTTTATTTAAAAAAATGTTAGAAGTCTTTAATGGCAATATTGTCATCTTCCTGTAGACAAGTGTCTGTTACTGTTTAGTTCCTGACAACCTGGGCCAAGGTGACCTTGTTCAGTTCCTAGTGGGTAAATGGATCTTTTTTTTTCCTTGGCAAGGATGTAAGAATGCACACTGGAGAAGGATTTCTAATTTCTGGACTGAGAACAGCTTAGTCTCATGTAGTCACTCACAACTAGCTCAAGAGGTGTCTGTGACATTTGACTCTGTTCCTAGCTATCAGCGATGGATTAAAGCAATGAAGTAACGTTAGTATTAAACAACTTCAGAAATTTTCACTGTGTTAAATTCTATAGAAAAGAATATACTTGCAAATTTTATTTTATAAAATTTGTCGATTGTTTTTGTAAAAGATAGAAGCAAATATGTGTTATTTGGTGTTTTTCTATCTTCCTACCTTCTTTTTTGCTTCTCACACTGCCAACCTAGAAGTGTCATGAAGCTGGGCATCCTCCCTACCTGGCAAGTTTAGCTTCTCAAAATCTCCTTTTTGTCCTTTGCAATGTCTGTTGAGGGCTGACTTTGGGTGTTGTCTGTATGGACCAGATGGTCCCACAGTGAAGGGAAAAGGAAAGGTTGCTCCCTTCAGATCCACCCAAAAAATTGCAGTGGTTTCCACTTTGAGGCCAGAACTTACTGTTAGAGTATATTTACTTCTATCTTTGTCTACCCAGAGCGGTTGTCTCATTACAAAGCACCAGGTATTTTCCTTGAAATGAAGATGAGTTGCATACGTTATTGCTGACATATTGGAGCTTTGCTTTTTTCCCCAGCACTGTTAAATTTAAAAAAATAATAATAAGCTATATTGGGTTTTATTTCCACCTGTTATCAGGTTGTTTTTAATTTAGTTGTAAATAAACACAATACCTTTATTTTATTTATTTTTATTCAGTGCTGAAGATCGAACACAGTGCTTCACACATGCCAGGCAAGTGCTCTACGATTTGGCCACAACTCCAGCCCGTGTTTTCAATTTTTGTAGAGGTAAAATTTTGTGTGTGTTTGCATGTGTTATCTATCTGTCAATATATCTTCCTATCTGTGTACTTTTTAATCATCTATGCTCATCTTAAAAAGAGATGAGCTCTAGAGTACAATTGCCTAAGTTTAAATTCTTATTCCCCTCTCTACTAGCGACATGATTATCAAGTTTTTTTTTTTAACTTCTATGCTCCTCAGTTATCTCAACTGTATAATGGAAATAACATAATGCTTTACACACAGTGCCGTTATAAGGATTAAATGAGAGAGTGCACATACGATACTTAGACCAGCGTCTGGTATGTAATAAGCGCTCAAAAAGCTCTGGCTATTATTATTGCTACTGAAGTAAGTTATGTGTCTGTGTAAACCAAGAAAAAAAAAATAAATGCAAGCAGGTGCAAAGAGAGCAGTAATAGGAAAAAAAAAAGTGGATATATCTAGGTCACCAGGACAAAACAAAAAGGAAAAAGCTTTGGAGCCTCTTTTTTCCCCTGTTAAACTGCAGGAAGCCATAACACATTTTTCCACTAAGCCCCATGTTTGGGATTTCTCATGCAAGTGGACTGTGTTCTGTAATTTGAGAATACTAAACTGAATAATTCTCTGGTTAAGAAGGTTCTGAGGAATATTTTGGTGATCCCACTACTATGTTTAACATCATTTCTATGGGAAAATATATTTTTAAAAAATTGAAGTGAAATAAGAATTATTAAATGAGATCTGTCAGTAAGTTGGATGGACAAGAGAGTATACTTCTTGTTGAGGAGAAGTAAAGAATGTAGGTGCCACATAGATGACCATATTCTTGTTTCTGCAAAGTTTTCTCCAAAAAGAAGAAAGACAGATGACTTCTTGAAAGTTTTTTTTAAGAAGCTGGAGTTGTAGCTCAGTGGAAGAGAGCTTAGAGCTTGCGTGGCATGTGTGAGGCAGTGGGTTCAATTCTCAGCACCACATAAATAAAATAAAATAAAATAAAGGTCCATCAACAACTAAAAAAATTTTTAAAAACTTCATTTAATTTCAAACATTAGTAGAAATAACATCTTCAATAACAATTTATAAATGAAATATTTTGATATACAGTCATTCTCCCTCATCCAAGGTTTTGCTTTCCACAATTTTGGTTAGCTATAGTCTAAAAATATTAAATATTTAAAAATGTTAAATGAGAAGTTCCAGAAATAAACAATTTTTTAGTTTTAAATTGCAAATTGTTCTAAGTAGGCTGATGATATTTCTTGTGGTCCTTCATGGGATATGAATCATCCCTTTGTACAGTGGATCCATGCTATATATGCTACCCATCTGTTAGCTATTTAGTAGCCACTTGGCTTATTATATAAACTATTATGGTATGGCAATGCCTTCATTCATATTATTTTATTTAATAATGGCCCTAACATTTAAGAATAATCATGCTGACAACTTAAATAGGCCAAGGATAAGAAATAAAATTCTTTCTTTAAGTGAAAAGTTAAAAGTTTTCAAGTTAATAAGAAAAATAATTATATGCTGAAGTTTTTATACAAAGGACTTGAGTATCCACTGATTTTGGTATCCCAGGTGAAGTCCTGGAGCCAATATCCCACAGATAATAAAGGGTGACAGTTCATTAAAATATGTCTTTTCTGTTTTGGTTTATAATTGTCTTTCTCTATATTTTAGATTATTTTCTCTTTTTTGCATCTATATACTTCAATATATCATACATAAATGGAATATAATTTCTCATTTTTCTGAGTGGATTATTTTCTAATTTTACCTTTTCATTTTTTTACTGTTGAATTTTACATTAAGGTTATAGTTTTCACATTCAAAAGTTATTTATTTCATTTATGTTTCTTTTTCACAATATTCTGTTCTTGTTTTTGGTAATAATATTTTTCTTAAGCATTTGAAGATATAACTGTAAATTATTTTGAATTTTTTTCTCTGAACTTTGAATTCTTCTCTTTCTTTCCATCCAGATATTTTGCCCCTGACTTAAATGTATCAAATGATCCTTAGATGTTCTTGCATTTTTAAGAGCAGGATATCATCAAGCTGAGACATCTGCCTGTATGGTCAGAGCTTATTGATGCTTAAACTACACTGTAAAAGGATTGGCTGGTGAGGCAGCATTTTCCCAGGAAAACCCCAAATTTTACAGTTTGCATAGATCTTTTCTTGGGAGCCATTCAGTTAATCCAGATTAATATCTTGAGGTCTCCTGCATAGAAAGGTCTGTTTCTGACTGCTAGCATTTTGAGAACAGAGGCAGATAAGGGGACAGAGGTTTTACAGGTCATCATGAAACTTGCATTCATTTCAATCCTGTCTTAACCTAGGCCTGTTTTATGCCTGGAGACTTTGAAACTGAGCCAGTGTTGTTCCAGTTTCTTTTGAGAACAACCTCCCTTCTTCTGCTGGAGAGAGTGTGAAGGTGGTTGTGCGTGTGTGTATGTGTGTGTGTGTGTGTGTGTGTGTGTGAGAGAGAGAGAGAGAGAGAACGCATGAGTACAAGAGGAAGGTGATCAGGTAGTCCCATCCATCCTGTCTGTATTCAGACTCCTCTGCTGCTCTAGTTCTCAGGGCTGTGCTTCGTCCTCCCTTGAGTTCAATCTCTCGGGACAACCTGTCAGATCACCCAGCTACCACTCTCTGCTCTGTCTACACTGCCCTATCTGCTCTGTCTTCCAGATAGTACCATCACTGTTTCCATACTCATTTTCTTTTCTTAGGCAAAAATCTTTATTATTCTTTGCCTCCCATTTTGGCAGAGTTAGTGAAAGGAGAAGAGATAAACACTTAATTAATTCACCATTTCTAACTAAAAGCCCTTTAGGTTTTTTTTATTTTCCTCTACAAGCATCAAGGCAATCAGAACTTTTCACAAGAGCCCTTGATCCTTTAATTCTTTTTCTCCTACATTTTGCAAAGTAGAAAAACAAATTTACTGTTTTGACCTAGTAATATGGATGAAAAATCTAAATAAATAATTACTCACTATAAAATGTTTTCCTCTTCAGCTGTTTAATAGACTTATGTATAACCTCTGAAGTATTATTGTATGATTCGGTGTTTTGAGAGAAGTTTAAAATATTACCTCATTCATTTGAAACACTACTAAGCTTCTTAATAAATTTTATACTATTTTAAACTATTTAAACTACTTGGGCCATCAAACAGGTAAAAATAGAAACAAATTTTGTAAGTAACTTGATTTCTTTTTTTTTCAATGCTTCTCAATATTTTCTAATCTTCCTGGGGCCACTTAAAGCAATTAAGACTTCAAGATTCTAAATTTCAGCATTTCTTCAATATATTTCTCACATTTGTATGTAATAATTGCTCTAAGTTATTGTCTTTGTCATATCACTTTTTACCTAGGTTTAAACATTGTATATGTGTAAATACTGATTGCTGTATTACTTATTTGATTATAAAAAATTTTCAATAAAATGTTCAGAAATATTCCAAAAATGTTGTTAAGTTTAAGTTGTTTTCTGATCCCAGTGTCCAGACTGACTTGCTTTGAGAGTTATCTAGCTATAATTTTAAACTTCCCAGGAGAACCCATCTCACAGTTTTCAGAAATCTATAGTTATTAATATCATTGCACAATATTTTTAGAACCCATTCTAGAACATAAACAAGTTTTCAGCTTGGGGAAATTATAGTGTAAAGTGTGATGAGACAAGTAAACATAAAACACGATGTTGAATGCTATCGTGAGGAAGGTGTTTTCCGAGGTAGGAAGCCATGGAAAGGCATCCAGTTGACAGTGTGAGAAGCAATATGCCAAGCTGGTTGCCACTCCTCTTTCAGATGAAACTGCCACTTGAGTTCCTCAAGATGAAAAGCTGTATGTTTCCCACATCAATTGTCAATCTTTTAAACTCATGGTTTGACCCAAAAGAGCAAATTGAAACAGATTGGAAATTAAAAAGGCATGACTTTAATTGGTGTGCTTTACTTGGTAGGACCAACTAAGTTATCCTATTTTTACCTCTAAAAGTAATGCCAGTAGAATTAGATGGTTTTTATAGTTTTATCACATCAGTACCACAGTGATTAGCTTTAAACAAGTCAAGTAAAATGGAAACAGCTAAAGTGAAATGAGGCCATTTTGAAATGAATAATGCCTTCCCATTTCAGATAAGCCTACGGTGCTGTGGTATGGCCAGATGACATTATTAGCACACATCTAGTTCACCTGCTGTTGTAGGGTCTAAGTTGAGTCAACCCCCAAAGTTCCCAGGCTATCAGTCCACACACATTAGATTTAGATTTATCCACACAGATTCAAATTTCAGGATTCATAAGACAGTATGTCTTATATGATAAATGGATGATTATGAGAATAGAAAAAGAAGAGGTTCAATTTGATTAGTAACTATTCCACCCTTAGGATTTAATTTTTATCATAAAATTCAGTTATTGTATAATCCTTCACCTAAAATTTTGCTCCCAAAGATGAAAAAGAATCAGATGAGTTACAAACATAAGAGTGATAAAAATAAAAATACAGTAAATGTGAAAGGTGGCATCTCATCCATATGTTAATAAAGCTACAAGTTCAGAACTTTAGGAGCAACATAACTAAATGGTGAGTTTCCATTCCAAATGTTCCAGAACATACAGAAGTTGTTACAATGAAGTACTGAACTGGGATTTGGATTTAAAGAGTTCTCCAGCTTTTTCTCAGCACAGGATTAGGCAACTGCCTTCTTGGGGATCCTCTCCCTGTCACCATTCACACGTAAACACACAAAGGAATACTTGCACACAGAGCAGAGCTTCCTGTGTCCCATAAATAAGGTGGCAAATTTCCCAAGAATAGTATTCAGGGGTGGAGGGAACCAAGGATGGAGACTGGCCTTAAAAAGAAAATTCATAATGAATTATCTGACCCTAGCCTCAGCTACCAGAACCAGAGAGAAGAGAAACAAAGACTTTGTTATACAGAAGACATTTAAAACAAACACATGTACAACATTGATAAGCATTTTGCTCAAAGAGAAAAAAGAGTGGAAGGGACTGAAAGTCTCCATACAAATCAATCTTTTTGATGAAAACATATTTCCTTTTTTCTTCTAGTCTCCTCTATAAGACAGCGCACAAAGTGCTCATTTCTATTTTCTTTGTTTTCATTCCAAAGCTAGAAGATCAAAGAGTTAATAAAACCTCCTTGCTATAGAAGGTCATTACAAAACTAAATGCAGCAATTCAAAGTGGTAAATAGAATGAATGCCAAGGAGATGTTTAACGAAGTAACATTCTAGATGTATTCTTTGAAGAACATTTGCAGACTCGTTTGATTGCTTTAGAGTGCACAGGGAACAATGCGTCTGCGTGGAGCTAACACTGACTGATGGTTGTGTTCCACCGAACTACTGCCAGACCACGTGGATTCACAAGTATATTTGATATAGAATTACCTAATATGGCTAGAAATATTCATGAGTATTTTGCATAGCAAAATGGTATTAAAAACTCCCATGTCCCTTTTCCCTTGGATCTAATTAAATGCCCAAATATGAGATGAGAGTCTATTCATTTGAAAAAATAATTTGAAGCACTATTTTCCCAAGAACTAAAAATTTGAATGGCAAGATAGGGACTAGCTTAATGCTCACCAATAGCTATCGAGATACTTCTTTTTCTTTTTTCCTGCAGTGCTAACATGTTTAGAATGGGAGCAAGTAGAGAACGTAGAGTGGTGGCCTTGGAAATTGTCAATATTACCATATTGGTTTATTTGAAAGACAGGCTTTTATACTGGTCTTGAATTTCAGTGTGACATGTCAGAGTTTATGATTTATTATATGCTATGGTCTGAATGTTCCTGGTTCATGGTTCCATCCAAATTCATACGCTGATAGCTAATCTGTGATATAATAGTATTGAGAGGTAGTTCCTCTCAGACACGAATCTACTGGCACCTTGATCTTGGACTTTCCAGCTTTCAGAGCTTTATTTTTGCTGTTTATAAATTACCCAGTCAGAAGTATTTTGTGAATTGCCAAGATCATTGTAATGTCATGTGTATCTAATAAAAAAATATTTAAAAAAGAAGTATTTTGTTATAGCAGCCCAAATGGACTAAGACACTGTTTCCTGGAATCTCAGCAATAGAACCTGTTAGGCAGGTTTCTTCCTTGCAAAGGAGCAGCAGTACAACCTAAAACATCAGAAGTGACTATCCTGATGGTAGACATTGTGACTGTGGCAACATGGAAGCCAGATAACAGAGGTTACTTAGGGTCTCCAATTCAGGCACATTAGAGTTATTTTGTTTCCCACTGTTTGAAAACTTTGTAGATGCAAGTTGTTTTCATGTTGAAGTAAAAAGAGTTCTTTCCTGAGGTTGTTTGAGGGTAAATCAGAAAATTGGCATAGCTAGGTGATCTGACAATGATTTTCAGAAAAGTATAATGAAATAACAGCATAGACATGTTAAAATAACTGAGATTGAGTTTAAGCAACTAAACATTCTAATTATTCGGGGCAAATAATTGCCCTATTTCAACTATAAAGTGAGTCTGTTGTGAAGCACCATTGAAAGTTGTGCTGATGCCAATAAAGAGTCTTTTTGCTTCCTGCACCAGTGGTGCATGTCACCTTCCTGCAAGGCAACCAGTCTGCAGATCTGGCCAGAGGGAAAATTACTGGGTTACAAAATGAAATGCAGGAGTAAGTCAGTCCAGCTCTCTGAACCCTAGGAAAGGAAACTTCCCTCCCACTCATGAAAGAGGGCGATTGTGCTCAGTACCACTTATCCAGTGCCAACAATCTAGCAAGCTCTTTATTCAGTGCTATACCACTGCTACAGCAAGGTGACCCCGAGTTTGGGGCCGAGGTCAGGGAAAGGTCACTGCTTGAAAAATGAAACTAGTCAAAAGGAAAGAATCCTAGGAATGAGTGAGGTTACTCACCCACAAAAGTTACCTAATCTAAAAGATAGTAGAGAAAAGCATTTTTTACATGGAATCCAAAGTTCTAAACCTTTTAAATCATCTTACTGGCGCTGGCAAAGTGGGGGTGGGATGTTCTGATATGTGGCTGCAGGGATCAGCATTTTGTCACTGAAGTTCCTATAGACTTCCTCTTGTTCCGTTATCTCTGCCTTCAAGAGTTCACCTTCCCTCCTTCCCTCTTTCTCTTCTTTCCACAGCCACTTTAACCTCAAGCCAAGGAGCAGACAAGCGGTATGAAGACATCACTATCCTGTTATTTGTGAGCTGCTCTAAACTGGCTGGTCCGCATTTCTCCTTCTCAGCATCTTCCAGGTGCCTCTATGTGAAGGCAGGTTGTCAAACTCTTGCCTGTCCGATGATGGTAGATGGCCATGAGTGCCTGTTTTAAATAAGCCCTTGTAAGTTTAAAGGAATCTGAGTGCTTGGAATATTGATTTGCCCTTTCATAACTTTTCTTATGAGACATATATGTATATGGATGTTATGAGGGGTAGGAACCTCTTAAGGAGAAAGCCAACATGGTGAAAGAATATGGACTCAGACTTTCTTATCTTTGTGTTCTCTAATAAATAAATAAATGGCAAGTCCTTCTCTGAACAGCAAAGTGAAAGCATTTCATAAATAAATCCATAAGTAAAACCATATCACTTTAAAGATGTGAAAAGATGAGGTATACTCTGAAGAGAAATTTCATTTTAAATAGGTAGCCAAAAGCTGATATGGGCAACTAAAAGTTTTACTATTCATCTGATTCTTTTTTTCTAAGAAACATAAAAATCATGTTCAAAAGCATTCAGTTAATTCTCATCAGTTGAAGAAGGAGTTCAACTTTTTGTCATCAAGAATTTAAGCGAGAAAGTCAATTCAATTTGATACAAAATCAGTTTACAAAATAATTTTGAGAAATAATTTTTTAAGAGTCAGTTTCCAAAGAGCAATTTCATTGGGTCATACAATAAAAGTCTTTTAATGTGAACTACTTACTTTTATTAGTGCATTACAATTTATTTGCCTTGAAAAAAAGTACACTAAAAATAGAATTAGAATGTCTTTGGTTTCTATAGTTCATGGTATTAAGTTAAAACAGTATTATGTATGTTATACAGAAAGTAATGTAAATGCTGCCTAAAAGAACATTTTTGAGTCAGTTTCACATTTAACATTGAATAGAAAAGTTGACTGAAAATAAAGCAAGTCACTACATCACTCTGCTACAAGCAAACGCTTCTTTGTAAATAAGGATGAACTGACAATGCTTGAAAGTGTAGTTCATCAAAATCACAACAAGAAACCAAATATTATGAACGTGTAAAATTCCATGTTTATTTAATATCCATTACATAGCTGGTTCATTGAAACCAGACTTTGTAAAGACAAATAACATTTCCGACGAACATAAACAATTTCACACAGTTGAAATTCATCCTGTATTTTCACATGAATAAAGATGTCATTATGCAAGAGTTTCAACAATAAAGACCTTGCCTTGAATTGGCAAGGCATCTTTCAGTGCTTCAGTTCAGGCCTCTATCCAGCTCTGGAGGAGAGATTAACAGTGCTGCATCAAGCTCAGAGATCAGCATGTCCACACCCAGCTGCTGCGAACCTTCCCCCAGTTTCTGCATTGGCCTCCAGTGTGGTCAGCATTGTGGACACTTTTTCAGAGACACATCCAGAGCTTGAGATGGGTATTCCTAAGGAAACATTATTTTTGAAAAGTTAAAGGCAATATACAGATAATATCAAAAAAAGTTTGTTCGCATCAAGGGAAGTATGAGTGTTCTGCTTAATAATAAATCAATAATTATTGTTTATTTTTACAGTTGCTTGAATTTATTTAAGTGTGCTATGTGCCAGACATTGTGTTAAACACTTTGCACTCACTAGCTCATTACATGAACAAACATATAAAGTAAGTACTATAATCATATCAGCTCCTGTGGCCAAGAAACCCAAGGTGACAGAAGCAGAGGGTCCTTTGTGTCATCAAACACAGTCCAGGTAATACTAAGAGCCCAATGTTGGGGAGGAGAGAATAGTTTTCCCAAAGCAGTTCACAGCCCTTTTCTGCCTTGCTTTTCTCGTCTATGGTCCCTGGAGAACGAAGAACCTCTTTGTCTCTCTCTGATGATATTTTTTCTTCCAATTTTTATATTCTAAACTACAAGACAACTTTTTCCTTGCTCCTAGGAGTGGCCACAAGTTTTTGGTTATGGTTTCTAAGGACGATTTTTAAAAGAGTCTTACAATCTCTTCACCCCTCCTCTTTATCTATCCTATATTTTCCATCCTCAGACTTTTTGATTCATGAAAAAAATTTTCTTCTCTTAGGGCATGTTAATTTGGTTTTCTGCTACTTGCAGCTAACTGTACTAACTATCCAAAACTGCTTTTAAAAGCTTTGTAACTATCTAGGTGGTATAAGCCATGATCACTGATACTCCTTATGTAAAAGGATAAATGAATTGTATATCTTAATTCTGGTATTTTAAAATTAAGTTAATGTCAAAAGAGTATTCCTGAATTTGACACTAACCACTAAATATCTAAAATAGCTATAATATCTTCTCCCTGCTAAAAGCATGCAGGTAAAATGGCAAGATAAGCCCTCTGGACTATGTGTACTAAAAAGGTTGCTGTAGCTCTTGCCCTCATCAGAGGATTCCACAATAGAGAATTGAACTGCTTGGAAGTCCAATGGAGGCAAGAAGGAAGAAATACAGAGAAAAAAATCAGAAATTTCTGGAGGTGAGATACTCAAAATACCTTCTAGGATTTTTTTTTTCAGTTAAATTGTACAAAGCCTACCTTCTCCTTCCCTTGTTGATAACTGAAATCCCATCTCTAGCACTTACTGGATATGTGATCTCAGATGAGGTCACATCAGCTTTCTGAGATTACCCTTATTTTTTCAGCCATAAAGTTAAATTTTACAATCCATATCATAGTACTGTGTTTAGTATTAACTCAAACAATGAATGAGAATCGTCTAGTACTGGGTTTGACACATAATACACAAATAACAGATTTTAATTTCTTCCCCACTTCTCCTTTCCCCATTACCATTCCCTTTGACAGAAGAATGATTTCAAAGACTGCAGGGTTTCACCTGTATTGCAAATCTTACAAAACTGAGTTCATACAAGTTGAAAGCAGAATAGTAGTTACCATAAGCCAATGAGTGTAGGGGAGAGGGAGAAATGGAGAGATTAGTTAGCAGTTACGAAATCATAGCCAGATGGGGAAATAAGTTCTGGTGTTCTGTTAAACAAAAGATGGTTTTAGTTAAAAAATATTGTATCATAGAATTCAGAATAGCCAGAAGAGAGGATTTTAAATGTTCTTATCAAAAAGAAATGAGAACTGAGTTGATCAACACCAATGTACAATGTGTAAATGTACAAAACCATCACAGTATGGAACATAGAGGTGTGTGTAACTGTTATCTTTCATTTAAAAAGAAACCTGACCTTTGAAAGCATTTTTCTTTTTCTTGCTTTATAGCCTTGTAACTGCATGAAGGATATAATTTGGCTGGGCACAGTTATTAGTGAAAGAAATACTTCCTACTAGGTTGTAAGTTTCCTGAAGGCAACAGCTGTGACTTGTAAATGTTTATATTCCTCATAGAACTTAAATTTCTAAATAATGAGCAATTAGGATATCTGAACAGAGAGGGTTTTTGAGCCATGTAATTTTGTAATGATTTAATGATTTATTTATCGATCCAAATGACTCATGGTTTTTAAGATGCAATCTTGTCAGCATTTACCATCCATTAAGCATAATGCTGGAGGCCCTATAAAGCAATTGTGAACACGGACAAACCCACATTGTGGATAATAACATGAAGGTGTACCAGAGAAAAAGCCAAATAACTTGTAATATAAGGGCTGTTTACTTTGAACTATTCACTATTCCAAACACCTTCATACATTATCACTATTCCTCTCCACAACACTGCAAAGCAGATGTCTCCAGCCCTTTATAACCAAGAGTCAGAGACTTGACTAGCACTCATAGCAAGTGAGTCTAGTGTTCCTTAGCCAAAGTTTGAATTCAAATCTCTCCTATTCCAGTGTTTGAGCCCTGTGTACTCCATACACTAGAGCCCAGAAGACTGCAGATTAAACATTTCTGGAAAAAGAGTGGGAGGTAGTTAAAGAAATCATCCATCTAGTTCAATAGAAAACTAGTTTTTGGAACTTAATCATCCAAATCCATAATAACAAAATTTTTATTGCTAATAAAATAAACAGTAATAATATTCAATATTACCAAGGCACATGACCTTGTTGAATATTTTATTTTTAATTCTTTTGGCTTTCTTTTTTATGGTACAAGGGATTGAGCCCAGGGGTTCTTAACCACTGAGCTACATTCCCAACCATTTTTATTTTTTTTTAATTTAGAGTCCCCCTAAGTTGCTGAGGCTGGCCATGAACTTGTAGTCCTCCTACCTCAGCCACCCGAGCCACTGGGATTACAGGTGTGCACTCCCATTGTTTAATCTTTACGTTTCTGAAAGGTAGATAATAATACCTCCTCGTATGAATAGATGCTGAAATTCAGAAGGTAAATTATTATTCCAAGAGACCTGATTCCACACTCTGACCCCAGGGTTCCTTCCACCACACCTTCAGCTTCCACTTGCCATGTTATTTTGCCTGAATTTTAACGAGAAAAGGTAACGAACAAAAGGGATGATGGTGTGGACTAATCACCATACTTGGCCTAAGTCACTTTCTGCTGAGCAAGGATTTTTTTCTTTACAGGAAATCTTCAGAGAAGTTATTCTGATAAAGAATGTATTTAATAAAGCAAAGCTTCTCACTGAGCATGCTTGGGCAACAATTAGAGTGATATTCTAAAAGTCTTTAGTTGGTGCTTGGTTTTCAGCGTGTCCTTTTCTTCTCTTTCATGTCTCTTTTCAAATGAGTAGTAAGGGTTGGAATAGCTCGGGGGTATTTAACAGGTGCTGGAACTTATATGTAGGTCACTAGCTCAGATCCACAGATACATGGTTCTCTCCTGCTAACCTGTGATTTCAAGCAGAAAGACCAGACCAGTATCTTTGAGCCAGCATGTCCTACGAAAAAATCATTCTTTGCTACCGTGATTTAAAGGTGCTGGTGAGAAATCAAGTAGGACTGTTACCAGTGGGAAATACGAGGGCAGTAAACATGGTGTCCAACACATAGTGTCTTTTATGCTGTTAGAAGCAGGACAGCTGGATATGGGCAACCAAATGAGGTGGGAGAGCATAATTCCTTAAAAATATATGTTGTTGTTGTTGTTGTTTTTAGCTTGGGAAAGGTGGAATTAGGAAAACAACAAGAACAGCAAAGAAGAGACACAATGATACAAGTCTGGACTAAATTAAGAAGGACAGAATGACTAAATGAGTCAGTAGCAAACATCTGACTGAGTCAAATGCCAAATCATCAACTTTGAAGATTAGAGAACCCTAGATAATAAAAGCAACAGTTCAAGCAGAAAGCGGTTGATGTGGTATTCAGTTATTCTAATAATCTTTTTAATTATCTCTACAAGTTTTTAACCTTGTCTTTTGGTATTATTAAGGCAAGATGACTGAATCAGGTGGCCTCAATAATATCGATAGGTAATACTGTTGGTCCTCTAGTGAACCAAAGATGTACCAGCCTATTGCCTGAAAAGGCTTCTGTTTGTGCCATACATCACATGTTTCTCACTTCATTCCTCATAGAACCTTTATTTACTGTTGGAAATGTCTTATTAGCGAGGGTAAACACTTTTATTCACTCTTCTCTGTAACAAATATTTACTAATGCAATCCACACAATGGACCTCTGAAATGCGATCCGTTCTCCCAAATTTTCAGATGAGAAACAGTGCAGAAAACAGAAAGGTCCAGAAACTTTCCTAAGGTTATGTGGTAATTAGTGAAGTTAGGATTCAAACACGGGCAGTCTTCTCCAAGTTCTTGCTTCTAACTAATACATAGCGGTTCTTGCTTATTAAATGCAATTAAAATATTCCAGGTTTCTAAAAGTAAAACTTTAGAACAAACAAAGCTAAAGTTATGCTTGCAAGTATTTATTGCACCCTTAACTGACCTGAAAAACAAAATTGTTTGACATTATGAAAATATGATTTAATCCCTAATCCATGTAAATATGAAAATTTTATTTTTAGAAATAAAAGATAAAATTACTTTACTAACATCATGATAATAATTATAGAAATATAAAAGTTTCATGAAGAACTGAAAAAATGTAATATGTAAGTGGTTTTGTTCAAAAAGCTAAGCTAGGGCTAAACAGGGCACTTCTTTGAGGTGTGTCGTTTACAAATAATGAAAAACTCCTGTATTCCTACCACCACTCAGACACTGCAAACACTGTTTGTATTAATGAAAATGCTAGTTCAGGTGGTGGCATTTCAAAAAAAGAAGCAGAGGCTGTACTTTGGAGCTGCACATAAACATAATTGGAAAAGGTGATGATGAACTAAACCATATTTACACAAGCATTTGAAATAATGGCTCATGAGTCCTGCAGAATATTTTCTTCCTTTAAATGGAATCATGCACAGTACCCTATTGATTCACTTCTTGGTATCTTATTTATACCATAAATCTCCTTGCTAAATAGGAAATCTAGTCCATATCACAACCAGTTTTCAAATTAAGCTCTCCTCTCTTGTTGGATGT